ACAACATTCTACTTAGACAATAAATTTCTGTTCCAAAAATATTCAGTTACTTCCCCCAACTACAAGTTTCACACGTCCTAAGAAACATATAGGAAATATGTAGGAAATATATCTATAAATAGAGTCTCTTAATTAGTCTTGTGATTATAAATAGAAGATTTTGACATTGAGTTATGTAGACAGGCGCGTGCTTGTGAAGAATATAGCAAGAGTGTGAAGGGCACGTAAAATAATAAACAGATGTTACCAGAAGAAATTGTTTAAAATAGTATTAATGACTTTATAAAGGAACTGTAATGAATCTATGCTATAGATACTATTTAAACCATAATTAAATATAATAAATAATATATGTGTAATACATTATAAAAAACAGATGCTTAAAGACTGAAATAATTTAAAATAAATTATATATTTGTTAGTTAAAACGTTAACTACAAGTCCTTGTCTCTACCCTGGCTCTAACAAATATGGCTAAGAAGAGTTTTTGCTGAAAATAATCTCCTGTATACTCAGTGACATATTTCAGTTATGATAGTAAGTCCTCATTTGAAACATCTAATGTATTATAAGAGAAAATACTCCAATACTAGAATATGCCCAGACCGCTACACATAAAAGCCAAATACACACATAAAAATAACGCTTTATATTAAAGATACATGTCGATAGAAGAACTGTCAGAACAACATCAACCGCTATTAAGTACTATATATAATAAAGAAATAATATTTATATTAGAGAAAAAGACAAAGGCAAAATTGTATTAAACTTTTATATCCAGTATATACTTCATTTGTTGGCTTCTTCTTTAAACTCATAGATGATCTAACAGAAGAGGTTTGTATAGTCATGAAATTTTATTACAATTGTAAAAAGTCAGTAAAAATAACTAAATCACTTCTAATTTATCATTTTTAATTGAGGACATAAAGTCAACTCTTCTTATATGAATGCAAGATTTTACGGAAAGTCAATGGTCCTATAAAATCAACAGATAATTCGATACAATAACGCTATCGAAAATATTATAAAGAGTCAAATTGTTTTCAGATACGTTAAATACTTAAGGTGATTGGGGTACTTAGCAGAAGTATCTGTTAATAGAGCATCTTAATGAGCTGTATATATAAAGACCATACGGAAAAAAGAAGACGCCACCAAAAAGAAGGATTGATACTATATACAACGATTCAAGCACATTGAAAATAAAAGATTAGAGAAGAGATATGATAAAATGAAGATGATAGAACATTTTTACTTTTGATAGTAATAAATAAAAATTTCACTAACTATCAAAATTAGCTTAACTAATAACAATAATTGAATTTCAAAATTAGCTAAAAATTTAATTAATTAAAAATAATAAAAAAAATTTGGTTGTTGCAATTTACTACATTTTCATAAAAACATCTCCATTGAAAATAATAGTTGATATTAAGAATTTAGTTTCCACAAACGGAACGGATTATGGATTGCAAGAATATTAGACAAGAAGAATAGTGATGATTTCAGACAATGGACTTAAGATCGATTAAGTACAAGTTATGGATTCTTTGACTTTATATATAATAAGGAATATAAATAACACAATGGTACCTTATGGGCCAATTAGGTCTATTAAATCCAAACCATTCGATATATGTAAACTATATATATTTATATATTTAAATAAATTAGAGATGGAGCGACAAGTCTTCCAAACAATTAATAGTCTGTTCACCTAGTTATTACAACTAAAACCGTCGTATGATTTGCTCGCCATAAACGTACTGCTAACATAAAGCGGGTTAAGTGAAGTCATAAAATCTATTCCGCAAGAAACGCTTTATAGCTTTTAATACGATTGGCAATATAGAAAATTAGTAGTCCGACTTTAAAACGAAAAATTGATTGTCACATTAATACTTATATATTAAAATTAAATAATATTGAAATTTAAATATATGAAAGGTGGAAGAATCAGTCTTCCAAACAATCAATGTTTGTTCGCCTAATACATACGTCAGATTTAAGGTCGTTGTATATATACCGCTTATATGAAGCGTGTTATAGCCTGACTGTAAAATCTTTAACCAAAGAGAAACATTACTAACTATAATCCGACCGATATTGTTATTGTTATAAACGCTTCCATTATTCAAAATTTGTATATTTATGGGTAAGGAACTAATAATAAAACAAGTTTAAATAAATAATGATAAATAATGATTTTTAAAAGTCAGGTCAAATATTCACTAATTTTAGTGGTTCTAATTGTGTTAGAAGCTAGAAAATAATAGCAACCAATTCTTTGGAAAAAAAACTGTATATGAAGATAAAAAATTAAATTATTCAGATTCTTAAAAAAATGTATTGTACTATAACTTATATTATAACCTTTTCTTTTGTATTAATTGCCATTGAAATTATAATTATTGTAAACAGGTAAAAATTGAATTCAATGAGGAGGACTATCTTCTAAATATCAATAAATTGACAAACATTTCTCTAGAAAAAGATAAAAAAGTAATTTAAAAAATAACTGCTAAAAAAATATTTGCTTTCTAGGTATGAAATCCGTCAATGCAAGAAAAAACTTGAAAGTAAAAAACAACTGTTATCTAAATATTTATTTCCTACATAGATCTCGATATTATAAATGTTAAAAACAATTTTGGTATAAACAGGTACTAGGACGAATCTGAGGCAATTTCCATGTAAATTATTTATAGATCTGTGACATTGCCCCAAAATTTGGTCATTTCTTGGGAAAGAATGTGTTAAGCTCTCTCTAGGAGATATCCACGCCCTCATAAGTTTTGCAAGAACCTCAAAATGGTTAAATGGCTAATCTAATCTTCTCTAAAATTCTTGTTATTAAATGTCCTCTTTCAAATACAAAAGGTGTTTAGATAAAACCATCTCGCACTGTTTAAAAGTCTAAAACTAGTTCCATAAGTTATACTGTTGAAACAGTGGTATTGCAATAGACCCGTAGGGTGTAATTGAGTTGATCAAGTAGACCAACTGCCTCTTTAACCTAACCTAACTTAAGTTTTCCAAAATTATTTATTATTAGATGTTCCCCTTCAAGTAGGTGCAGGTGTTTAAGGCCATCCTGCGGTTTATGTGAATCACATGGTTTCATAAGTAATACGGTTAAGGTCTCGTGTTGAATAGCGATATCACAATGGACCTACTTAAGTCAGCTAACCCAACTTTCCCAAAATTTTGTATAAATTATTGAGATTATATATATGCAAATCTTAAAATTATAACAATAATCTAAAAAAAAAATAATTATTAATTTGATCTATTGTCAGTCGCATCCCAATTATTTTCTGCCATTTTTAGGGCTGTCTTTAAAGCGGTTAATAAATTTAATATATTTAATTAATAATTTTGTTTGATTATTTACTTAGAGTAAGTCAAATAATCTTTCATTGCCAAAACCATGATTTTAATACTACAATAAAAAATTATATATATATAATTATATAAAATCCGACAACCAATATTCAATATAAGCAAAACTAGTACTTTCATGCTACGAGTATATACAAAAGTAAAAGAAATTAGCGAAAGCATTACTTGGTATCAGAATCATTGCAGAAATTTTCATGGTTTGTGGCAGAGTTGACGACTAAGTCGTTGGTGTTGTTGCTACTTAAATCACTAACATTCAATTCGTTATCAGTAGCAGAACTGTCAAAGGATATATCCTCGTCGCTATCATGCTCTACATACCCTGGTGACGGTGATTTAAATTCTTTCTTTGAGCCTTCAGAGCTACCAGTCGAGTCATCAAACGATGAATTCAGTGTGCCATTTGAAGCAGATTTTTGCGCTTTACTATTGGAAAAGTGGCTGTCCCCTAAATTATAGGAACCGGCATTATTACAACTGCTGGTCGTAGAAAGTTCACTGCAAATGGAATGGCGTGATTGAATTTTATCTTGCTCTACATTGATAACACTTTTCGGAGGTAATTCAGGTGCTTTACGCAAGATTGGAGTGCCAGTAAGACTTTTACTTATGGCACCAGCATTGTTTGGTATTGTCACTGCATTACTTGAAGAATTTTCGTATATATCCTCATTATTGGTTGGGTTGTCTGAATTTTGTGGTTTACGTGGTCTTGGCACAGGTGTGGGAGTCGTATAAAGATCTATTGGTACATTCTCATTACAATCTGGACCATACAAATCATTTGTTTCAGTTAAAATTGATTTATTATTTGTTGATGTCTCCTCTTCCGTTAGAGCGCCAAGGAAGACTTTATTATTTGGTAATTTATCCGCACAGTTAGTTAAATTATGTATATTTTCAGTATTAATGTTTAAGTTTTTATTTATTAAATCGATTGTAACATTTTCGTATTCGCTTTTCCGTAACTCTGGATAAAGCCGTCTAGGAGCGGGTACAGGGCGACATAATTCATCTTGTTCCATATTGACTGTAAATATAAAATATAAAAAATTATTATAATAATATATTTCAAAATCATTGTATATTATACTACATAACTAAATATATATATTTGGGATATAAAGAGATTTGTTTTTCCTAAAAAACATAGAGAGAGTACTAAGAAAAAATCAATTATAATGGACATATTGGCCTTAAATTTAAATGGAATATGTATGAGAAATCAAAAACGAAAAAAACTTATTTATTAATGTTAAAAGTCCTTGCTACAAATAAGGAATAAAATAGCACAGAAAATAAATTTTTACCTGAGAAAGGACATTAGTTTTTTTGTCAGGCATTGTTTACTCACAGATCTCGTAGCTAACCCTGCTGCTACCTGTCCTATGAAATCCTTTAAATATTAGAGTATAAAAGCAACTCACAAATTACATTCCCATATCATTCGTTACAAAACATTAAACTGAACAGTACATACTTGTATTAT